TGTCCGCCTGACTATCTTGGTTGGACTCCATAGATGTCAGAGCACTCTGTAAGGCCCTATAGCCTTTAGTTGCGCTAGGTGTCTTCTTGTCTTTGGCTGAACTAAGAAAGTTTGAAATATAATTATTGACACTAAATGCATTGTTTTCTGTTGCTGTGTTGTGGCGAGGAAAACCGTTTGCATCAGCCGAACTCTGACCACCAAACCATAGAAAATGGTTCCCAAGATTGATAACCTGCCGTGCAGTTGCCTTACGTTGCTTTTTATTTCTTCTTGACGCGGGGTTTCCTCTAAGATAATCTGCGTTTGAACCCAATCTGTTGGTACCTTGATGCTTGGTTAGACGGTGCCAAAAATAACTCCGCTTGTGTCTGTGGTCCTTATCTCTTTTTGCCCCTTTTAGTCTACCCTGGGAGCTCTTCTTCGAGAAAACTTCTTGATCAGTATCAAAAAGAGCCCGGTTTGCACTAAAAATGATCGAAGAGACTGAAGAAGAATTCAGTGCTTTCGCTAAACTTTCGTCTTGTTGAACTTCCGTCTGTCTTTGTCTCCCCTGTAAGTTATTGAGCCTTCGGGTTAATAAAGCTTCGTTTGAGTAAGGTTCCAAGATATTTTCCGAGAAAGTTCGATCAGCTGATGATTCCTCTCGAAATGTTTGATCATTGACCTCGCTTCCCAAGTTAACTTTGTCGAATAATAGTTTCGCCTTGGAAGCTAGGATATCTGAATTGAACTTTTGCAGAAGCTTGTTAGATTTCTCTGTTCGTACTAGCTCTTCCAGCAAGACCTTATTAAGAGTGTCATTCAAAAAGTTGCTGTTGCTTGAGTTACTTTCTATGTCTTTTGGTAAATATTCAGACGAATTCAGTGTATCATCTGGCTCAATGTGAATATGATTACTCTGATCAGAGCTCTTTAATGGTATCGTGCTGGGAATCTGAAAGTCGAAGGACTGTCCTTTTCTTAAGCTTGAGATATTCACTTCAAGTGAAGGTGCTTTTGGATATAACGCAAGCTCTTCATTTTTTTGTGACTGATTTGATTTTTGCGATGAACCGACTGGCTCCATGCCGCTAAGACTTGGTGGTCGACTATTTTGCTCCTCCATGGGTGTCGCATTACCTGAGGTGTTATTTTCCTTAGATCCGAGTTCAGAGAGATGTAGTACTGTTTCTGAAACCGAGACGTTTTGTGTCTTTCCTTTAACTTTTTGAGGTCCAGTTAAATTTGTCGTTGTATTGTCTAATGCTTTAGTCTGATTCGCCCCAGAGTCTTTTCGCAGCACTGTTTTGATGAAAGTTGTGTCATTATGTGTACTTGTTTTAATTTTTTGAGCTGTGGATGACGGTGGTGAGGAACTACTTGCCGTTTTATTTTGTTTGAAGTCTGGATCCGCTTGTTGCAGTATGCTTTCAGGAATTACTATAAGCGGTGATTTTATTTTATAAACCCCAGCTGTGTCTTTACCCGTCTTTTCCAACTTTGATGAAGACGTATTCACCTTCATGGAAATTGGCTCCGCATCCGCTTTATCTGGTTTTAAATTTTTGAACAGATTTTCATTATCTTGATTCCTGTTACTCTTATTCAAGTTCTTCGTCTGGGTCAAGGCATTTGACATATTTCCTCCTGAATTGATAAGTATAATCTTAACGGGACGGTTGACATACTGTGACTGATTTTTAGATGAGATTATTCTTAATGTGCTTGCCACAGTTGAAACATTTTGTTTGATTTCCTTATCATGGCTATTCGTTTTGTTTTCAGCTACTTTTCTCATTTCGTCTAGTGCCCACTTCGCACTATCCTCGTCTTCAGAAATTCCCAAAATTCCATAATCAGCAGTCTGGTGTGTTGCTTGAGAAGATGTGTTAGTACTTGATGCGTTTCTGGAATGCTCATTGTTTCGTGTATTGTTTTCCTTTTTGTTTGTCGTGTTCTCCTCCACCAAACTACTCGTGGCAACGACCGAGAGCTTTCTCGCTTTCTGCTCAAAAGGGAGCCATCTTTTTGTTAATCCTCTTTTATCGTGGGTATGCCCTCCTACATAGGGATGGATCTTCCTTCCTTGTTTCGGTTTCTCACTTTTTTTTAAGGCAGTGGAGACATCTCTTCTTTGCAATTCATTGTTAGCAGACGAAAAGGAAGGTATCGGTTGCTTGTCATCTGAAGGTTTTTTAAAAAAAGATAACTTTAAATTTTTGGTGGTCCCTGAGTTACCAAACTTTTATGATAAACCATTGTGCGGAATGCAAAAAATTGAAGTCCCATAATTCGAGGTCAATTGTTGCATGATCGACTATGCGTGTTGATTTGAATTTCTTTTGGAGTAAACTTGACTTAAAAGGATTGGAACAGACTATTTTGACGAGGACTGCTTGACATTGAATGAAGTCCTTTAAACTCATAGAGGTGTTACAATTCTGATATACGTTTAATCATTTTACCGACAGTTCATTCAAAAAATGAGACTAATGATAGACAATACATAAATTTACCTGCTGAGGCCAACAGGAATCCCTTCAGGAAAACAAAAACAAACAGGCTCACCACAAGCCTTTGTCTCACTCTTGAGAGAAAAAAATAAAGTCAGACAGATAAGCAACAGACTCCAGACTACAAATAACTACGAAAGATTTGGATTCTATAGGAGATGGTTGGACTCGGCTTTGGATCACAGTAATTCAAAATTCGTCTGCCACCTGCTTTAAGAACAGCGTCAAACATGTGTCACATTGTTCCGTCAGACCTTGCTATAATTGGCTCACAGAGAAAAACTAAACTACGGGAAACTGTGTGATCTTGTTGTGTCTTCACGGCGATTGCTGTTTAATTATTATCACATTTGGGCAATCATGAAAAAAACCATAAGGCTTTCATTGTTACCCCATCTTACAGTAAACGATGTTCTAAGTACCCGAAAATGTCAGAATCCTGACCTAAAAACTTGGAGTAACTGAAGAGTATTTCTAGTCATTACTTTTAAAAGGCGTTCTCTTCTTATCTTACCTCATTTTGATGCCATGAATGGGCTCAATTGTTTGTCTAAAGGAACGAATCTTTCTCGAGATTCTCAGTCCTAGTTTTTGCGATGTGAAATGCATTCTATTTCCATGATCTAAACATGTAAAGGGAATGAAGTGATAAATATTTATTTCTTTTGAGGATCAGTGATTTTTCCCTGCAATACATGATCTTACTGGCTGGTGTTTTGCTATTAACTATCCAGTTTGAAGAGGTTCGACCCGGGAGACTGCATGTGTTTTGAACAGGCAAGAAAGGGCACTGACTTTAATCCAACGCCTTCGATTCCAGAAAAAACTATGGATATTCCCTTAGTTTAGGACTGCATTTGCAGTTATAATTTATTGGTTGAATAGTAAACAACGATATTAGCTCTTCAGAGCGATTATCGACCAAGATAAATAAAGGAAAAAGGCAAGCCATTTAATTGGATGCCCAGACACGATGGTCGAATATCGTAGGGAGTGGGATGTGTGAATGAAAAAAAAACTGCAATGTTAAAAATAGTAAAATTATCACAATTAAGTCTTTTTTATACTGGCGAATATGACAGGTACCAGTCGATGACTAACTACGTGTTTTAGATTGTCATCGCTCTTGCCATCCGGACAAAGAGGATATAAACTTAAACAAAAGTCAGACCTTAAAGTGGCTCAATAGTGATCATATCTCCATTTGCCAAATGATAAAAATGACCTTCAAATATAGCATTTCTCCGAGATAGGAAGAAAATACAGGTAGCAACTAGCATTGTTTGTCAACCTTACGATACCCAAGAATTAACCATGCCTCAGAGGCATTGCAGCAACAGAGACAGTGGCTGTTGCCTTTTAATGTGTTTTAAAGTGTGAAGCTTAAAGGTATGTGCTATCCTCAAAAAAGGATGTAGAAAAATTTTATTTCTCATTGATCACGAAAGACTACAAGCGCAAGTTCCAGTTTCCTAAACTACCTTGCAGTCTTGAACCCCTTCCAGAGCGCCATAATGCTTTTGTTTGTAACTGGCCCACGAAGAAACAGTAATGCCCTCTCCTCAAGGCAAGTCCGAACTGCCCGGTCCAGAGCCCACCCCTTTGAAAATAAGAGAAAAACATTCCCTATAACACAACATCACCTTACTGAGAGGTCATCCCTGAAAAATTTCACTAGATCAAGTTTTGTAGTTAAATGTTGAAAATGAATAACAAGGAAAAGCAACGATCTTTGTTAGGCTGCAAAGTTATTTTGCTGAACCCTTACAAATAACTTATTCTTGAAAGTTTCCGAAAGGAAATCCTCATGAAAAGAAATTTTTTAACATAAGGATGATCATTAAGGGATATGTTTTTGTCTATTTAGTGGAAAGGGGCACGTCATAACTCTTGTGTACACTATAGAAAAGTATTCTTAATGTGCTTAAGGAAGGTCATCATAAATGAAAATGATGATGATCATGAGGCAATCCTTTACAACTCACATTTTCCAATTTTGCACAAGGTCAAAGAAAATGTTCTTTTGTTTTATTCAATCATATATTAATATTCGCAAATACAGACAATAACCACAGATATACTTTTTATCTTTATTTTTTCAATCCATAACTGATAGAAAATAGCAAGATAACTGACAGTTGCCCATATGATACAATATTATTTTTCCTATTTGTTTTTGGCTAATGTGGTTTGCCGATATTTTCGTTACGTATTGTTCAATTTCTTCAAGGTTTGTATAACATGTATACACCTCCTTACTGATCAGTTCACGAATGATGTCTGCCCGCTTTTTGAAAGATTTTGACAGTATTTGTTTACGTGCCGTGCTATCAATTCAGACCTATACCACCCGTGATACTCCTAGGCTCTCAAATAACCTGACCCTCGTCGACTAAACTCTTATTTTTAGCAGAGACTCTAGCTTGGTTTCCTGCTCACTGTTAGATTCTCTTATTTTGAAAAAAAGGAAGCCCCATATATAAGCACGCTCACTCCCACCGCCAAATGAAGGTTCATGATCGAATGCTTTTACGAGCTGAACAGTCATGCACCAGAGGAAATTAATTAGTGGAGTGGATGCCGCTTTTATCCCCTGCTCTTCTTGATATTAGGTTTATTGTTTTGTGACATTTGCGCTTTCTTTGATGAGGGGACCAAATTTTTCCCTCCTTTTAAAACTTTTCCTCTTCTAAATGCAAGGGATCGATCATTATTTAAATCGTTAAAGTTTATGGAATCTTCGTCCTTAGATAAGATAGAGGGCATACCCATGGAGCCAACCGGTAGCTGTAACCCATGTTCAAGATTTGAATCGAGTTCAAGTCGAGCAACCCTTGACATGGAAGAACTTTCTGGTGACCTAAAAGTAGATTGAAGCTTCAACATACGATCTAAATCTGGGTTTGTTTGCATTGGAAGATTTCCTCCTCTCGCCTGATTGTCGCTTATTTCTTCCATTACCAAATTATTACCCACTGATTGACGCAATGGTAAATGCCTTTCATTGGCTTCATTCCGTTCTACAAAATCATCTCCCTGACTAGAAATACCTTGCTCTTCCCTTTCATTTTCCATATACATACGCTGAGTGGGGTTTGAAGTGCGTTGTAGCACTGAAGACGATATTGGAGTGTCGAATCCACCGGCTCTTTGAAGGAGAGAACCTTCTCTCTGAGGAGCTTCCAACACAGAACTCTGAAATTCAGAACTTCTTGATGTTGGAGGGCCCAGTGGCCTGATCATCGAGGGAAATGTCAAGTGGTTTCCAACCATAGGAGATCTTCCTATAGGAGAACGACCTCCTAGGAAAGATGCATCTTTCAAAGGAGAATTACCAATTGGTTGATTGGACATCGGTGCAAGAGCACCATTGTCCAACATTTGGGCATGAATAGGTTGCTCCGACGTCAAAGGTGTTCTCGTGTTGCCTTGTAGCTGTAAGCTGGGCTCTGGAAGAAGTGAAGAGCTCTGAAGACCGTTATTAAGTTGCGAGAAGCTATTTCTATCGGCCAAGTCTGAAAATGCTTCATTGCCTTCCGTCTCTTCCCGGTTGTTGGCAAGAAGAAACTCTTGCATCATCTCGTTTAAAACAGAATTCCTGTCGGAACTTCCAATAGCCTGGCCAAGTATTTGATGAATCAGCTTCGAGCTGCCTTGGGTTGGCATTGGGCCAAATCCATTAAGTCCTTCACCATTCAATGCCTCGTTGAGGCTACCAAAATTACCAGGCGTTCCATGGCCATACAGCTTTGCCTTTAACGACTTCAGCAAGGGAACCATTTTCAAACCATGATGTTGCTTTCTACGTATATTCAGAAGTGGATCATTATCCCAGTTGTCGGATAAGCCATTCTGAATACCTCCTCCAAAAGGTGACTCGCTAGGACTGTTCGTGTCATCTAGAAAGGGCATTTGATTGTATGATCCTCGACTCAGCTTACTCAGAAGTACTCTCTTTAACCACGGTATCATTCTCGTTGGCCATATCATTGCCTTCTTAGAATGGTGCTTGTCTTTACAAGCCTCACTTTCATTTGAAACATTAAAAAGCGCACATAGAAGCTGGCGAAATTTAGCTTTTTGTTTCTTTTTATCTTGGCTACTGTCATAATAATGGGTTTTTTGTTCTTTAGGCTTAGAGCTGGTGTCATTAATCTCATTTCCAGTTTTATTTTCCTTCTTTCCGACAACTTTTTTTATAACTGGCAAATGATTATTGTATCCTTGCTTAGTTTCCTCCTCTCCCGTGAGGCTCTTGGTTGTTGACAATTTTCTACCCTCAGATTTTCCCTTCTCTTTTGTAGAATTAATCACATGTGACATGTGGAGTCTCCCCCCATCTCTGTTTGCATCAGAACTTTCCTGCAAAAGTACGCTCCCATTGTTGTCCCGAAAAAAACTAACGAGCTTGTCCCCCTTTCCTTTCTTATCCTTATGAAGTCCTGCAAAGTAACAGTGATTAACTTGCATTAATGTACGTTTAAGTATTATCAGTACTTGCAAGATAGCACAGACAAACAGCAGAATATTACCATTCGAGAGCTCACAATAAACCCCAATCAAAACGACCGCTGTCAAAATCACCCTCATCGTAATAGTTGACTGCAAAAATAAAATGAAATGCAAATTAGCAATTGTTGTTTTGTTTATTAACAGAAGTAGTTAAAGGAGCTCTACAATATATCTCGTTAATACGTTCGGTCAATCAGAAAAAGTTTACCGTTATATTTGTCCAAAAAGGTGATTAAGATTATAAAGTTTCGTTTAAATAGCAAAGGAAACCTACTATTTCATTAAATGTTACGGATAAGTTCAATGGAGAAGTCGTGAATTTTTTAACGAAAAATGCATTACGCCGGGCTCTTTCTTAAAAAATATTCTACGATCTACCGAAAATGTCATCCGGGAGATATTACCTTAATTTCGATCCAGGGAATAGTGAAACACCCTACTACATGTTATCCACTTCCCTCACATCAGAGATCCTTCCGAGAAATTCTAAACAGCGTCAAAAGGACAAATCATGATGATTATAACTATCTTAATGTCTATTGTCGTAAAATAATGATGGTTTTCCCTCTCAACCAAAATGATGTAAGATATACTGCATTACTTATGCATGAATTAGGCTCAGTTCCTTATCTACCACTGGTTTTACTTCACGAGGTTAGAAACTGTCATTTCCACTTTTCAGTGTCGCCAAATATTTGTCTGATATTTGTTTTCTTTCTGTATCCAGAGTATCATCGATTAAAGCAGACCATTCTGGTGAAATCTCTTCCTTTGAGCTCGAGTTTTACTCAAAAGAAACTTACTAGACGGTAAAACAGAGCATTCAGCGTTAAAATTATCATCTTTCTCGAGAGACCAACATCTATGAGAATATGTTAAGAAAAAAGATTTTCCCTCATTGGCGCTTCTTACTAATAAATTTGGCTCAAGTTGGTATCAACTCAAGCAAAACATTGAAATTGCATACTAGACGCTTCGATGAGCAACCTGCTTCATCGGTTTCTGTAATAAAGGTGAAGCGAAGCGAAAACACGAAAGGAGAATGAGCTTTCTTCCTTTTTCCTTATTCGTATGGTAGATATACAGTAACATATTGCGTTGTCTGAAATTTAATCAAAAATTGTTTAGTAAAATTTTAGTCAACTAGAAGGGTTGTTTAGACTAGTTTTATCCCACCTGTATTGCCAGAGTTCGCTCAGGTCTCTGTAGCAAGAGGCTACGTTGAAGGAATGTTTCTGTTCATTATCGTCGTTAGGCCGTTGCCTCGCAGTAATGCATTGTCTTTCCCTTACGGTTTCCTTAAATCACTTATACCGCTAGGGAAGAGGTGCATTTGAAGGAAGAAACCTTTTTTCCCTGGAACGCGACATTATTTAATCCTAACGTTACTAATTGTTAACTTAAGTCACATCTTACAACCTTATTTTTCCTTTTCGTTTGTGGGCAGGGTGTGTGGTTATGTCAAAGATGATGGCTTAAATTGTAACAGTGCAACCAAAACTAAAGAATTCGGCTGTTGACCGAAACTTTGACTATATCATATGCATAGAAACACAATACTGTAGCAGCGCAATAGTTGGCGGGTGGGGCTCAACCGTCGACCCTCGCAGTTCCACACGTCTTTCTTTTTCTTCTCCCTCTCTGCCTTCTTCTATTGTGCTCCGCCGTAAAACGAACATCTGATCTTAGGGTATGCCAGAGCTAACTGGCCAGGTTTTTTGAGGTTTTCCATTTCTCGTTCTTACCTCTACAATCCTAACTAACAATCCTAAATGCTTCTGTGCAGTGAGTGACAGCTGGAATCAAGGAACAATCATGATTTATGATAGCCGTTAGAGCTAGGTTTTTGCCGATCTGCTCCTAGGTGAGAAGCCTGATAACTCGTAAATGAGAAAACTATGCCTCTTTACAATTTAGTACTCAAACCAAATTCAAAGAAACACAACCCTCCACATCTAACTGTACTTTGATAGAATGGTTGCCCGTAATTCTATAATTTAATAAGAGTAAACGAATTTCAGAGCTACTTATAACATGAGTTTCGTTTAGCTTGGTAAGTTATCTTTATTAAGGTCCAAATGAATCCTAAAAGAAGTACTAAGGTGGCAAAGAACCAGAAAATTATTGGTCTGGGGTCCCGCAATATAGCTATCTTCCATTCGACTTAAGTGCATCAGATTTCAAACGTCACCGAAACTGTTATTATAAATATCATTTTTGCTTGTATTATAGTATCAGGTATTCGGATTATTAACTCTATTTCCTAGAGTTGGTATAATTAATGTGACAAAACTCTTAATTATTCCATTGATGTTTTCTCTTAAGATGGTGCATTCCCAACCCTGTCCTGTGATGGATTGTTCGTTTCTGTGAAAATCGCTTATGAAAAAGCTTGTGCTTTACACGGGAGTACTTTTTGTGCTTTCCATGCGGAGAACCATCTTCAACATGAACCATTTTAGAAAGTTCATGGATAGTTTTCATCAGTTTTTTTACTTTTTCCTGAAGTATTGACGAGCTTTTGGACGATGGAACTGATTCCTTTTTAGAATAGCTGTTTTCTGACTTCATTAATTTCAACATTGCTTTGATAGCGACTTCAACGCTTTTCCTAGCCAGAGGATCCTTCACTTTATTGAAAACAGCACCCAGAACTCTAGAAGCCTCAAGGTAATTAGCGGCGTCATTTTCACTGGCACTTGTAGTTATACCTTTATGTTCTTCAGTTTCTGTAGTAGTGACAGGCACTGTTGCTGAGTTAGAACCAGTAAGACTCCCGGACTCGTTTTCCTTTACCACATTTAAGACTCGGTTACTTCCTTTGACAGTTCCAGGTATTTCCTGATTTAATAGACTGGAGATGGAAAACGTAGGTAACGTTGATATTGTTGCTTTGTCAGTATGTACTTCAAACATTTGTTCAGACGGAGGGTTTGCCTCGGAAACCTCTAAAGTTGGGTGATAATCAGAAATACTCGGTATGTTCGCAGTTTTTCCAAGTTCACCTATAGGTTCCATTTTAACACGATGAAACTCGGACGTAGATCCCGTTTGAAGGTGATTTATGTCTGGTGAAAGAGTTTTAGTTGTCTTTTGGGAGATTTCTTGAGGACTGTTACCCGAATCAATTCTGATGCTTTCGGTTTCATTAGACTTTTCACCCCCATTTTCAATACCTTTGATAATATTCTCGATGTTTTTCGTGTCGACATCAAGTAAAGAACTGTCATCTTTGTCATTCTTCGGGGAATCTACAAGTGATAACTGAGTCCCTTTAGTATCAGAGAAGGTTAGTGGGAACGAGAGATTAGTTTCGAAGTTTTCAGATGTTTTGGCCTCCTTATTTACATCTTTTCCAGAACTAAGTTTGTTGTGGTCAGACGGATGGCCGTGTTCCTTCAGAGTGTTCTCGATTTTTCCTACCGTCGACGAATCCAGTTTCAACGTCTTACGCTGTGAGCTGTTCATTTTATCAATTTCATATATGTCTTTTAATTTGTCAACCAATAAAGAGAGTAGCAATTTTGTGACAACATCAGACTTATTATCTTTCTTTTTCCTTTTGCTTTTGGCGTGATGTCTCGATTGGAGATATGGGGCCTTGTTTATATTGTCGAGATCACTGTTCGGTAGGTCATTAAAATCCATACTTTCATTTGGCGGGAGGGGTAGACCAAGGCCTGATTTTCCAGATTGTGATTTTGCCAACTTTTCTTCAAGCAAGGGACTGTTAAATCCACTCAATTCAGAGTTTCCAGTCATTTGAGGCGACAATCCATTGTCTTCCGCAGGACTATTAGCAGTTGTTAATCCTCCCACCGATGCTAGGCTTTTAAGATTTCCAAACATCAGATCTGAAAGGACTTCTTTTGTTAATCCATTGGGTCCAGTCAATGGGTTTCCCGCTATATTTCTAAAATAGCTTGGCTCAACTCCTAATGGACGGCTAACACCATTTTCAGATGCTCCTTTCTCTATCTGCGCAGCATACCTAGAAAGCGGTATCGGTAGGCCTTTGCCTACTTGTGTAATGGAAGGAGACTGTGGCATACCACGAAGCTGTTGTGTAAGTTCGTTCAAATGTGCAATTTGATTCTCAATCTGCTGTGAAGGTATCTCAGAACTTGTCTCCGGAATCCCATGGAAGGCCAGAACTGAGGGATCAGTAGCTGATATGGTGCCGGCAAACGGACTGATCTGATGGATCCTTGGTGGAAGAATGAATTGTCGAGCCACTGCTGTTGTTGAATTATCATTTTTACCTTAAACCAAGACATGACTTGATTCATTTAGATAATAGAGCAAAAATTTTGCAGTTGTGCGAAAATTTTAACATACAGGTTCTGGGTTTTTAGGTTTTTAGAAGGTACCTGTTGTGATGGAGGCTCCAGCAAAAAAGTATAATAACGCAGTTAGGAGGAAGCCAAATTTGTAGCCTGTCATCGTTCATTTAAAGTATCATCGTAGTATTCGTGAGCTGTTAGGAAAGAAGAGAAATGAGGATGTCGCGAAGAGATGATCATGCTATTGATATAAATTGTTTTAAAACTGTTTTGTGATTGTAATTTAACATAATCGTCGGCCAATTAATCTAACTGTGCATAGTTTATGTCTGTTCAGCAATGGGGCCAAGTAAATTCTCAGCAGGTGTTTCTTTAAGGACCACTTTAAAGGTAATTTTTCAAGATCGATCGAGCAAACAAGCAAAAGTGGTTGAGGATCGGTCATATTGTTGCTCAGTGGTCGAAAATTACTCAACCAAATCAGAGATACTTCGGATCTATCTGCTTCGCTGTATCATATCAAGAACTCCTCGTAAACTTAGTCTACATTGCTATCTATGTCAACACTTTATTCAGTGACTTAGCATTGATTTAATCCATGTTAATTATTGTTTTTTTCTAATCAGTAAAGAAGATCTAACAAAAGAACCACTGGTAAGATTATGTGTTAAATAATGTTAATGGTGATTTCTTACCTTTTCCCACAGTTACGCCTGGACAACCGTTTTAAGCTTAAATAAAATTATCTTCCTTTCGACATTTCAACCGTTTAAACGTCAGCGAAACTGAACAAGAAGACTCGCTTGCCATTCAAGATGTTAGCGAAATGACTTCATTCTCCATTTTGGAAAACTTCCCTCGTTCGCAATGTCAAACTAAATATTTAATAAGCTACAATATCTCTGTCACCAAAAAGAACAAAGAAAACCTATTATACCATATGACATCTTTAAAAAGACTTTAACAAGGGTAAGTGTTAACATACAACGATGGAATGGTGCTGTGGTAAATAACCAACAATACATTACAGGTATATCATAATATAAAGGAAGGGGTCAATTTTGCCCTTAAGTATTTCATAATTTTAAAGGAAACTGTGGTGGATTAGAAAACGTGTTGGGAATTATTTTTTTAAGTGATCTTTGACGGCTGAAAAAATTATGAACTGCAAAAAATTGACGGCTTCCAACGTTGTTAGGACCTTTTCGATGGGATGCATCATCTCCTTATTCAATCGAAAATTTCCTCCATCGCAGTTGTCTTACAATTTCACTTCAAAGAGAGATTACCACTATAAAGAGAGATAGATAACCGTCCAAATATGAAAAATATACAAGAATTTTCCTTTCATAGGGGACACCCACCCAAAATTTTTTTTTGCGGAATTGTTAAAATCATGTCATCTTTCAAATAAAATTTTATGGTTTTCGAATGAGAATTAAGTCAAACGAGCCCTCCTTTTAAAGGCATTCTCAAATTCTTCAGCCTCTCTCTCCCCCTCGGTATGCAACAGCTTTCTCTCCTCCCATTTAGAAGTGAATCTGTCATACCATCTGTAAAA